TTCTTCTTCTTCTTCTTCTTCTTCTTCTTCTTCTTCTTCTTCTTCTTCTTCTTCTTCTTCTTCTTCTTCTTCTTCTTCTTCTTCTTTTGAGTCAGGGTCTATGTAGACCTTGTTGACCTTGAATTCTTTGCTATTTTCCAGCCTCTGGGGGCTGGGATTAAAGGTGTGCACCACCGAACTCAGCCCCTTTTCTGTTCTCCTTGCCCTCTTTCTCTCTGTCTCTCTGTCTCTCTCTGTCTCTCTCTCTCTGCACACACACACACACACTGGATCTTACATCCTTACACTCTTTCCAGTATCTCTTCCACAATGATCTCTCAGCCCTGGGAGGTGGGGTATGGAATATTCTGAAGCCTCTTATCAACTACAGGTCTCTGTATTAATCACCATCTATGTCTTAGGGTTTCTATTGCTGCAATGAAACACCGTGACCAAAAAGTAAGTTGGGGAGGAAAGGGTTTATTTGGCTTATACTTCAGCATTGCTGTTCATCATGGAAGGAAGTCAGGACAGGAATGCAAATGGGGCAGGATGCCAAAGGCAGGAGCTGATGCAGAGGCCATGGACGGTGTTGCTTACTTTCTTGCTTTCATTGTTCTTCTGGGCTTGTTTCTTCTATAACCCAGGACACCTCCCCAGGGATGGCACTATCCACAATGGTCTGGGCCCTTCCCCCATTGATCCTAACTGAGAAAATGCCTTACTCCTGGATCTCACAGTGCATTTCTCAACTGAGGCTCCTTCCTCTCTGATGACTCTAGCTTGTGTCAAGTTGATACACAAAACCAGCAAGTATACTCTTCTTCATAAAGAATTTTCTTTTGTGTTGTTGGTGGTGTTTTGTTTTGTTTTGAGACAGAGTTTCTCTGTGTAGCTCTGGCTGTCCTGGAACTTGCTCTCTAGGCCAGGCTGGCCTCGAACTCACAGAGATACACCTGCCTCTGCTTCCCAAGTGCTGGGATTAAAAGCATGAACCACTATTGCCCGACTTCAGTTTCTTAATTTTAAAACCATTCTGACCATGTCTGAGTGCCCAGCTCCAAAGCACAAATCGCATCCATAGCATTGTGCAATCAAGCCAGTCCTGCCACCATCCACCTTCAGAACTCTCTGTCTTCCTAAACTGAAACTGTATCCCCATGAGCCACTCACTTAGTCACAGTTCCTTCCAGTCTTGGCACTCCATCCTGTTTCCTGCCCCAGTAGACCTAAGACTATTGGGTCCCCAGCAGGAGACTTAGGCAGTATTTGTCTTTTGATATAACCAGCTCCTTGCAGCCCAGAGCTCTGGAGGGGCATCCAACAAGTGGGAGGCTCTCTTTCCTCTTTATGGCTGATTCACACTCCAGTGTCTGGGTAGACTGACTGTCAGTCAGTGCATGCATCCCTTCGGCTGCCTCTGCTTCCAAACACCTTGGCTCTGAAGTGCCTTTTGCCGGTCATTGGTACTGTGGAGTGGTGAGTGGAGGTTTTGAGAAACTTTTCTGTAAATTTCAAAATCAACGACATCTCGAGGGAGGAAGGAAGTCGAGGAACCTGGGTGAGGCCCTCACGGGAAGAACTCAGGCAAGGAGTGGTTTTAAATTCCTCCTCTCTGGCTAGGGCTGTGCCTGGGCTGCAACTGTTAGGCCTCACATTCAGCATCCCATCCCTGCCCTGTCCTGCCTCTGTCTCTGATGGCCAGACTGGAGCATTTGCTGCTGCTGCCTGGGCTGCTTCTGTGGGTGAGTGGAGGCACAGCAGGGGGATGGGGACCCCAGCTGACTTCTGGCAGGCTGTCATCTCCAGAGCAGTATGTGTGATTGGGCCTAGAGGTAATAATGGGTCTCCTTTGCCAGCTCTTGGTCTGCATGGTGGAGGTAGAAGATTAGATGAGAGGATCCAACACCTAATGAGACAGAGTTAATTTATATCCCTAGCTTTCCTTGCTACAAACAGTGGGTTGTTTTGTTTTGTTTTGTTTTTGCTATCTAGCTTGTCTTTTTCTTTCTTTTTCTTCTACTTTGTTTTCTTTTTCTTTCTTTTCTTTCTTTTTTTTTTTTAGACAGGGTCTCACTATTTATCTTTGGCTATCCCAGGGCTCACTATGTAGACTAAGCTGGCCTTGAGTTCACAGAGATTAGTACACCTCTGCCTCCTGAGTGCTGAGACTAAAAGCATGAATCAATATAACTAATTTTTTTTTTTACAAAACTGGTTTTATTATTTCCTGAGACTCCTTTGTCCCTTCTCACCTTATAAAGACTTATTTTTTTATTTTAATTCTGTGTGTATGTTGTGTGTCTGTGTACATTCTGAGGGCTAGTGCAGGCTATGTGCATGTTGTGAGTCTGTGTACATGTGTAGGGGGGCAGTACAGCCTATGTGCATGTTGTGAGTCTGTGTACATGTGTAGGGAGCCAGTACAGGCTGGAGAGCTTCGGACCCTCTAGTCCTAGAGTTACTGATTATTGTGAGCCACTGTGTGGGTGCTGTCTTCTGCAAGAACAAGCACTTTTAGCTGCCGAGCCATCACTCCAGCCCCTCGTATTTTTTTTTATTTTTAATGTTTTTTATTATATTATTTATTGTGTGTGTGTGAGGTGGGGGCCAGGCTCACTTGTGGTGATTAATGGACAACTGTCAGGAGTTAGTCCTTTCCTTCAACCTTGTGGGTTCCAGGGAATCAAACGTAGGTTGTCAGGCTTGCTGACAAGCACCTTTCCCACTAAGCTATGTCACCCGTCCCTTCCTCCTCCCTCTTTTGGGACAGATGCATAATATCTGTCCCAGGCTGACCTCTACCTCCTGTTTCTCCTGCCTCGCTTGCTGACTGCTGGAATCCTGGGCTTGAACCACCAAAACTGACTACCCCTTAGCATTTTCCAAGTGTGATTACCTCCCCAGATTGTGTTGTCAGGGTACATAGGCCTGTAACCCCAAGACACAGGAGGATCAGGAGTTCAAAGTCACCCTCAGCTACACAGGGAGTTGAAAGTCAGCCCAGACTGTAAGACACCCTGTCTCAAACAAACAAACAAACAAAAAAAGATATTATTATTATTTTGCATTGCTACAGTAGCTGATCTGTGTGAGAAGCTGACAGAAACAGGCTGGCTCTGGGTTAGTCTCACCCCAAAGAGTGAAAGCAATCACCACTTGAAAATGGTGCTCTCCGCCTGACTGTCTGCCGAGATTCTCTCTCCTAGAAAGTAGTGCCTCCCAAGTTGCTGGCCTTCAGTCAGTGGCCCTCAGCAACCTCTGGAGTTATGTGAACCCCCAAGTCATCATGTGTCTTCAGACTAAGTCCCTTGGGGACTTTCATGGATGGGCATGTAATTCTGGCCACTTTTTCAATGTTGTGAAGTTCATGAACCCTGAAAAAAGACCATAGACTCAATCCAATTATAATGAAAAGATTTGTTGATTACTGCTAGCGCGACAACAATCTCTGAGCCAAATCTGAGATTTCAATGAGAAGTGGGGGTGAAGGCTTTTTGTTGTTTTTTGTTTGTTTGTTGTTTTGTTTTTAAGGCAAAACCATAAGAAGACCTTGAGCATCTGCAGAAACAGGCCAAGAGCTGTTTTGATCTGCCAAGATTAGGTAGTCAAGGTAACTTGAATGTCTACATGAGCAGGTCACAGAAGCCAGAAGAGAGTAGTCCTCACATAACAAGAGGATGGTCACTGTACATTTCTAGGTGGGGGAACACTGAGTCAGGTTTGCCGGGACATGGTCCGAGAATGGAATCCTGTCAGAATTCTGAGCGCTTATGAGAAAACTCCAAGAAAACAAGATAAGAGTCTTGTGACCTGAGCTTCTTCCAAAGCATGGAATTGTTCTCGGAAGGTGTTTCCATTGCCCTCCCAGGTGTAGAAGATAGCAGTGAGCTGACTTCGGATTGCCCATTACAACTGGCTATTGTCATTTGTTTATATGCCTCCTTGGCAAACGGGTTTTTGCCACATGCCTCTTGTCCTTGTGATGGTACGCTTTACTCATGTGACTCCTCTTAACCATCAGAGTATAAATTATTAGATGCTCTAAATAAAGTTGGCAATTGCATGAGACTTTAGTCTACCTGATTTATCAGTTCCATCCTCCCAGGTCCCACCAACTCTAGAGCACGGGGTTACCAAGTGCTTCTCTCCCAGACACTGGAGTCAGACAAATGACTAGTAGGTATCAAGATGGATGGAGTACCAAATGGAGGTTTTTGTGGTTTGGGGGTGGTTTTTTTTTTCATCCATCATATCAGAATGTGAAGGATAACCCTCCCCTTCCTCTCCTGGTTACTTCCTTTGCTTTCAGAACGGCAGCTGCAGTGAGTCACTGTGGGAAAAACATCCTGAACTGTGTCATTTACGAAACCTAGCAGAAAGGAAACCTAGTAGAAAGACGGTGCTGTTCTTTTTCAAGCTTTGATTTTCCCTTGTCAGGCTGCCCAGGGAGTTACTACTGTTGGGTTTACAAGAAAGTGCCATATTGTTCAGTTTTTTTCCCTGGGTTCTAAGGATCCAGACTCGGGTCCATATGCTTGTTAGATAAGTGTTTTAACAACTGAGCCACCTCCCGGCTTCATTATTTGGTGCCTGCCCAGCCTGTAACCTCAGCATTTGGGGAAGTGGGGGAAGAGAGTACTATTTCAAGGTCGTCCTCAGCTGTGTGGTGAGAGCCCAGCCTGGTTTACGTGAGACCACGCCTAACAACAGCAGCAGCAAATAAAAAGAGGAGAGCCATAAATCTCTTCCCATGCAGTCTTGAGGACGAAAGTTCTGCTCTCTATAAACAATGTAAAAGCAGTTGTGTATGGTAGCCCACCTGTAACCAACCCCTCAGGAAGTTGAGAGAGGCAGGGCTTCCCTAGGGCAACTGGATTCAGTGAGCGACCTAGCCACAGTAAGCTAAGTGGAAAGAGATCAAGGGAGACACCCAATATCAAACCCTGGCCTCCCCATACACATGCATGCAAAGGCAAGGGACCCAAACATGTGCCCGCACCTGCATGTGTACCATACACATACACACACAAAATAAATAAAGGAGAACACTGAATGAAAATGAAGACATGACCACCCCTAGGTATGGTTGAGGAGAAGGTTTTTATTGTAGATAGGAGGGAGAGAACAGACAGAAGCATCTGGAAAACTCCAAAACAGGGAGAGAGAGTGGTAGGCGGGACATGGCCAGTAGACTGTACCAGGCATGAGAGGAGAGAAGGAAAGGGAGGGTGAGAGAGGAAGAGAAGTGAGAGAGGGCAAGAGGACTAAGAGGGGAGCCAAGGACCAAGAGTTCAAGAAAGCTCATGGCCGAAATGACAGATTCTTATTGTTATAATCTACAGCGAGTTGGACCACAGCAGCTTGGTCCAAACCACAGCAGGTGAGGGAATAGCCATGCAGGCAGAATTTGGATGCTGAATTTATTAAGAGGAGAGAAGGGGACAGAGAGAGGGAGGGAGGGAAGGTGGGGGAGGGGGGAGAGAGAGAGAGAGAAGGAAGGGGGAGGGGGCAGAGACCTACCTCTTCAGAAGAATGATAGGGAAGAGAGGAGAGAGAGAGAGAGAGAGAGAGAGAGAGAGAGAGAGAGAAAGCACTGCAAGTTCAGGAATGGGCGGAGTTTGTCTCTTAAAGGAACCTTTGCACCTGCTTGTAGTCAGGGAACTGCTTGTCATTTGCAGAGGGGTGCCAGGTTCCCAGGGTCAGGGCCAAGGTGTTCCTGGATGCTAATACTTATAGGAAAGAGAAGCTGGGGAAAGGGAAGGGAAGCTGGGGGTCTGGAGAGGTTTAGGGTAGACGGTGTGGGTAGGGTGGAGAGAGAAATGCTCAGAGGAGCCAGGACTCTGTAACAGGTACCTATGATACTGCAAGAGCCTGGCGGCCAGCAGCTAGAGGTGCATCTTGGTATGTTTATGTTAAAAAGTCACCATGGTTAGCCATTTTTCCTGAGTTTCTTTGGGACCTCATTTGGTAGCCCTTGAACTAAGGATCCTCCTGCCTCTACCCTCCAAGAGCTGGGAACACAGGCATGTGCCATTGCATCAATGATACACAGGGCTGAAGATGGAAACCGGGGCCTCATACATGCCAGGCAAGTGTTCTGCCAACTCAACTACATCTTCAGCCCCTCAATCTTACTATTTTATTTTGAGAAATTTGGCAGTGCTAGGAACCATAAGCAAAGCCTTGCCCACGGTAGGCAGGCAGTCTTAAACTCAGCCTCAGGACCCCTCCCCCGTTTCAAATCTCCAAAGGCATCAATGCCCTTTGAACAGCAAAACGTAGAAAGTCAGAGGTGGAAGCACACACCTGTAGCTCAGCTATTTAGGAGGCCAAGGCAAAAGACTTGGTCCAGGAGTTTGAGTCTCACCTGGCGTAGGGGAATGAATAAGAATCCCACCCAAAGGGTCATATGCTTGAATGCTTAGTCATTAGGGTGTGGCACTACTTGAGAAGGATTAGGAGATATAACCTTGTTGGAGGAACTGTATCACTGGGGGTGGGCTTTGGGGTTTTAAAAGCTTGAGTCAGGCCAAGTAGATCTCTCTTCCTGCTGCCTGCATCTGGATGTAGAATTCTCAAACTACTTCCCCAGCATCACGTCTGCTTGCACACCACCACACTTCCCGCCATGATGACAGTGAACTAAACCTCTGAAACTGTAAGCCAGCCCCAATTAAATGTTTTCCTTTTTTAAAATTGATTTTTATTGAGCTCTACATTTTTCTCTGCTCCCCTCCCTGCC